CCCCAACTCAGTTGACAACTTTTTCCATCAAGCACCTGTCCCTCAAAAAGTCTCCGCACAGCCCTGAGCAGGGATGTCATGCTCTGCACCAGACACCCTTCTGATGGCTTCACCTTGAGACCCAGCCCATGAAAATCACAAACGGGCATAGAGGGAAGATGCCCACTTCCCAGGTGCCAAGAACCACTCTAAATTACTTCATGCTCTGCCAAGTATGTGGACACAAGTCTTGCTGCATTCATACAGGGACAAATAACACCCATTAGCAACCCAACTACCCCACATCCAGTACGTGCCTGGGTCAGGATGGGCAACCTGCTTTCACATCACCACTAAGGTCAATGCTGTGAAAACTGTACCGTCTACAGTCTTTCACTTTTCCTTCTTGAGCGGTTTCCCCATTAACAAATGCAGTATCAGGTTTCAATGCAAATATTTGGTCTTGTTGAGTACCCACAAGCTAATGACAAGTGAAGTATTACAAAATGTAAATTATACAAATTCAAAGATTTATTAGAGTTGTAAACAGTAACATACAACAATAAAACAATTATTTAAAATATGTTTCCCCCAATATGGGGAGAGAAAATTTAACAACAAAATGTTTTCCCACAGAATTTTCAAATATTCTAGTTAGCACATACATATTTACAACTTAATATGATTACTAGCTTGAAGTAGAGACTTCAGAAGGAATAACCCAGTGCTTATTCCCATTCTAAAATATTATGACACTTCAACAATTTCTTGTGCTACCGCATGTAACAAACTGTGGTTTCTGAAATAATGCAGAATACAAACATAGTCAAATGCAATTTTGCATGGAGGAATGTTGCATTTAAAAATCAATTGTCCTGCTTTTCCATCAGCTTATGAAACTTGTGGACTGAACATTTTCTTATAAGTATCCTTGCTGTTCCTGTAAAGCTAACTGAAAAAAAAAAAGTCACAGACTTTCTGTGAATTCCTTGAAAGACTCACCGATGGAAAGTTATACAGATATCAACCACAGCCAAAGGGTGAGGACCCCAGACGACCTTCTTGTGTCTTCAGCAAAAAATGTGTGGATTAAATCAAAACTGCCGCTTGTGTGTCAGCGCACCGACCAAAGCAAAAAGTAAAAATACACAGAAATAATATTGCACTTAAAAGTAACTTTTCAAAGGATTCCTACAGCAAAGAGTCCCACATTTACCTCTGCCTATAAATATTCATACCTCGAGCCTTCAGAGCCAGACTTTTCCTTTGTACTGTAGAGAATTACAATCTGAAGCCTCTTCAATGGCTTCTAGACCAATTAAATGCATAGAAATTCAAATCAAACCAGTGTCAGGTTAAATCACCCCCCCACCCAACTTGCTAACTGTTATGAAACCTAACAGGGTACAGTATTAACTGAATTTCAAGTGTCTGGGGACACAAACAGCCAACGCACATGCAGGAGTTCTTTCTCTCATTATATCTGATAATTCTATCAAAACATTAAAGCAAAACTTGTAACAATGCATACAATTTACATACAGTCGGTACAAATCCTGATCTTTTTTCTCATCATATGACTTTGAGACTGAGATACTTTATCATCTGTATGAAAGACAGAGCTCTGGAACACTTTAAGGCTGCAGTACATTTCATGTGTCCGCTACGTCTCCAGTCATATCCCAGGTGGCGTGATGTTCATCGCGCTGCCTTTTCGTTCTGCTGGTCTTGCATTTTTCTGTGTTCTTTGTGTGAGAAACACGGAGGGATCCTGGATGGGATGAGCAGAAACAAACCCTCTGAAGGACAGCCAGTCCAACTTTCCGCTCTGCTTCTCTTTGTTCATCAGAACATCAGATTCTCCCTGCCAAGTGCCCTCCATGCCAACGGGAGGCTGAAAAGGCAAAAACATACGGTTCTGGGGGCAGCCTGTGTACAGCTCAGACTCATACTTTATATGCCCCTTCCAAAGACGACATGGAAATGATAAAATCTCCCCTGTGTTTACTGTCCTCTTCATTTCCAGCCCTGCATGTTTAAGCCGTATCAGACGTTCACGTTTTGGAGATGATCCAGAACAGCTACTGGCCGAAAGAAAACCGAAAGTAAAAAGGCACTTCGGGAGCTTCAAGGTGGCTTATGCACGACTTCCCACACAGGGACGTCTCTTTGGTATCGAACGTCTCTCCACTGCCGCGTGTCACGCAGGCTCAGCTGTGACCTCGCCGTGACCTTTCCGAAGCATCGATTCCTCAAGGACGTCGCTTTTGTGCAGGTGGTGAAGCACACATCGAAAAATGTACATCGATCCCTGCCAAAGTATCAAATAATCCCTCACATCAATACTGAGCACGCTTAAGATAAGAACGAACAAGAGAAGTGCACGTCGTAGCGGACGCCGTTTGATGAGCTTTAGGGTATAAATGCCATCACGTTGACATTGTTTTGTTCAATCAACTGGGTGAAAATCAACCTCCATATTCCATCTCAGAAAAACAAATTTGCTTTTCTTTTTTTTTTAGGATGCTGCAGGGGGTGTTTAAGTAACCCTCCCTCTAAAAATCTGCAGCCTTTTCTTCTGACAGTTAATCTGGCAGATTCCCCTCCGGAACCTAAATTGGTCTTGAGTGTCTGATGGCTGACGTCGCTGCCTCTGCTGCTGCCTCGGCTCGGCTCAGTTGCGGTCTGCCGCAGCCTCCTGCCTCAGGCCTCGGAGGCAGCCTGCGGCTTAAGGTGTGCCTTCTCCATCGCTGTGCCGTAGGGAAGCGAGCGCTTGAAGAAACCCAGCTGCAAGGGGGTAACAGGAGAGACAGGTGAGGTGTGAGGCTCCAGGGATCCCGTTACCGTAGCTTGTCACAGGCGTGACCCGATTCCCCCTCTGACGCTCACACAGGCTGGGATTGCAGTGGACTCACTTTGTAAAGGACATAGCTGAGCAGAGCCAGAAGCAAGAGACCAGCCAGTATTGCCAGTATGATGATCCACAGTGGTACAGCGTACTGGCTGTCCGGTTTGCTCCACACCACCGGGGTAACCACCTGTCGGGGAGATGGGGGGCACGTCAGAGTCTCTTTGGCCGCCGGGACGGCTCTCTCTCTGGTGCGACCGGGGAGATACTTACCGCTCTGGCTCCTCGGGGAGGCTCTTTGGGCAGGATGGCGTACGGCATCTTGTGAACAACGTAGCGAGCAGAGCACTCCAGCACATACTGCTTGAAGGCCCTCTGTTGCAAGAAACATGGGAAAAGAATGGGGTTTTCATACCGAAATGAGTGGGCGCCATCTAAGGTCACATCTCAGCCTGCAGTGTGGGGCTCTGCAGGTTCGGACTCTGTGACTATGGATGGATGGTTGCCAGTTCAAATCCCAGTGTTGACAGTGTTTTCATTTTTGGAGCCCAGAGCAAGACCCTTAACCCCCAGTCTCTTCATGGACTGTCTGAACCTGCCTTAAGTAAATATATTGGCTAAATTAAATGCAAACGTTTCCATCCAAATTTCGTTGACATGTTTCCTGCTGTTAGCATTTAATTACTTTGCATTTTTGCCAGAAACCCTGTTACTAAGTCTTCTGCATTACTAATAGCTCACATTGCTGACTGCTGCCTGGTTGGGAACAGAGTGTTCATATTAAAAGGATAAAATGGGCTAGCATAAGCACACTAGAGGGCGCCAGAGGCTCGTCAAAGGGCCGCACAGCGCTGCTCACGGGATCATTTTGGCATTCCTATCCTATGAGGGCTGCTGACCACAACTTAATGTATTTTCAGTGCATGTGCACATTCACATACGGTTTCTCAGAGCACCTGAGAGCCGTGACATCACCACCAGCACCGCAATAAGTCAGCCAGGTGCTGAATTGCAGGACTGAGAGTGAAGGACAGACTTGTATTGGGGCATTAAACATTAAAACATTAAACATTAAAACATAAGAACATAAGACATTTACAAACGAGAGGAGGCCATTCGGCCCATCAAGCTGGTTTGGGGAGAACTTAACTAATAGCTCAGAGTTATTAAAATCTTATCTAGCTCTGATTTAAAGGAACCCAGGGTTCTAGCTTCCGCTACACTAGCAGGAAGACTATTCCATACTCTAACTACACGCTGTGTAAAGAAGTGCTTTCTCAAATTTGTTTTAAAATGTTCTCCCGCTAATTTCCACTTATGGCCATGAGTTCTAGTATTTAAACTAATATTGAAATAGCCATTTGGCTGAACAGCATCCAGACCCATTAGAATCTTATAGACCTGGATCATGTCCCCCCTTAGTCTCCTTTGCTCAAGGCTAAACAGATTCATCTCAGCTAACCTCTCCTCATAAGACATTCCTCTAAGACCAGGAATCATTCTCGTAGCCCTCCGTTGCACCTTTTCTAAGGCAGCAATGTCCTTCTTAAGATATGGTGACCAAACCTGCACACAGTATTCTAGGTGGGGTCTCACCAAGGAATTATATAAATGTAACATCACCTCCCTTGACTTAAACTCCACACACCTAGAAATGTAACCCAACATCCTATTGGCCTTTTTTATTGCTTCCCCACACTGCTGAGAGCGGGACATGGAAGCATCAACATAACACAGCGAGATCTTTCTCGTAATCAGCTACCTTTACTTCAGTGGAACCCATAAAATATCTGTACCTTATATTTCTGCTCCCTGCATGGAGTACCTTACATTTATCTGTGTTAAATTTCATCTGCCAGGTATCAGCTCTTTATACCTCTAGCAGGACTGACGACGATGTTATTAGCGCTGTCATTAAGATATTATTATGCTATTCATAGCTGTTGACACGAATCATTAATTAATAATGACACTCATCAGAAGCTGGACAAGCCAGCAGGTGACACAGCTGGCCAGCGAGCTGTGATCCTGTTCCAAGCTACAGAGACGGGCTCGTATGTTGGACCTTCATTCGAACACTAACTTGAACTGATGCAGCAAGATATTAAAAACAGAAGGGAGCTGCTCCGAATAACTGCAGCAGAGTAATAATCGCAAATTTATGTGAGCTGGAGGCGCGCCGACATTAAAGCTCTCTGTAGCCCTTTCAGGTGAAAGCTTCATTGTCTGCGGGTCTTTATGCGAGAGAGAACGGGAGAAGCCCTCACCTCTATGAAGGTCTCGGCCCAGATTCGCGAGCGCACTTTGAGGATGGCGGATGTGCCCTTCTCGAGGAGGCCCACGTGACACCGCAGCGTCCAGCAGTCCACGCTCAAGCAGGACTGGACAGAGGAGAAGCGCAGGAGGACACAGGGTCACAACCAGCCCCCCACACAGGCTGCGGTTAATGCAGAGTAAAAGGGGTGGGGGGGGGAACAAGAGGACAAAAGGACAAGAGAAGCAGAAGGAGCAACTAGCCCAAGGAGGCGCTGGACACATGGAGGATTTTTGGGCTGAAGGCCTGCCGACTCCTCAGCTCTCCTGTTCAGGGTCAGGTTCAGGTTCAGCTACTATTGTCTGAGTGGAAAATACACACACTGTTTTAAACACTCTGGCCCCTAGAAAAAACCCTCTATATGTGAATGAGAAAGAGGCCCCCAGGACCCTCAGTTATGAAAATATACAGATGGGGGGGGGAGGCGGCTGGCGCGTCCTGAGGCCCATGGGGTAGGTTAGTTACAGGTTGTTGGCAAGCACGCTCCTGCCTTGGGCTCTGTGACATTTGCCCTCCCTTTTGGGGAGGTGGGGTTGTGTGTGTGTGTGTGGGGGGGGGGGCAGTTGAGGAGGTTTCTGGAAAACTTTGTCTCATATGACCATATGTGGGGTGTGATCAGAACACCCTGTCACTCTCCATCCCAGGAGGAGGCCAAAACCTTTTCACCATCCACAGAGCACACAGTGTGTCTGCTGCTGCCAGACTCAGCCAGCCACCCGCTCAGCTTTTACTCAAATTCATATTTATGGTGTGATATTCATACACAGTGTCCCAGCTCACAATTAATACAGCTCATATAGTTCTTTGAAGGGGCAGGCATGCAGCAGACAAGGCCTATAATGTCAGTACTACAGGTTCTTCACAGGAGATGAGGGAACATTCACGACAAGACTGGTGGGCTCTCCTCTTCTGAAATACCTTAAAATGCAGCTTTCTTAAGCAGCCTACCTTAAAACCAAGGTCCATGGGTCAGGCTACGAAGGCGGTTTTTCCTGATGTTCTGAGCTGTGCCACACCAATGTTATGAACAATTATGAATTCTGTTTTTATGGGCTACCAAAGCAAAGGGCCAACACCCCTGGCTGAAAACCCCTCTCTGAGGCGTCTGAGCACGTCTGGGCTGTGCCGTCACCCACATACCCTGGGAATGAGTCACAGCGCCTCCTTCTGATCACCTGACAGAGGTTAAGGTAGGGCCCAAAGCCCAGCTCACTGCTGCTCACATAAGCAAATGGATTGGAGACGATGAGCAAAAGCAAAAATGTGCTGAAGTGCCAGGATGCTCATTTTCAGTACTGTACCCCAGGGGCAGGACGGTTTTAGGGGGGCTGTATTTCCCCCCCCCCCCCAAAAAAAAAATAAAAATAAATGCATGCTAATCAGTTTACATTGAGTGTTCTCATTCATTTTCATATAATTCAGCCCCCCCCCCCTTTATATAAATCTCTGGTGAGGAACCATCCATACCCTGTATCTAAATGTGTTGCCAGGTTTTATACACAGGCAGCCCTGTTTCCTTCAGACCAGGAGGGGGTGTGACGTTAGTGTTTTGCCAGCAGCTTGTGTTTTGAGAACATTAGTAAGAATTCAGCCCGGTGTCCACGGTCCCACAGCAGCTGTCCGACTTTCAGACATATGGGGCTCCTCCCCAGCGCTCAGTCATGGGGGGTGCAAGTCAAGGGTGTGGGACTGCACTGTGTTTTTTGGCAGGGCGCTGTCCACACTCCTCCCAGCCCTGAGTCTCACCAGGTTGCCCATCTCAGACAGCCGGTCTCTGTGGACCTCCCTCCTTCTCACATGGTGATCCGGGGTGGCTGTCGTTGGGGGTTGCTGCTCCACGGGAGCCTTCTGGAGCTGCGGCAAAGGGCGAGGAGGCATGTGTCAGAGGGATCGCGCGCACACACACACACGCCCAAACACACACTGCTGGACGCACCAGTAGGCCGGCCCTCCGGCTCTCAGGAGAGATTTAGGGGCATTCTGGGTTGGCCGGTTCTCTTCAGAAGTTATAAAAGGAAAAACAACGGTACATTTTGACTATGGCTGCCGGTCCCGACAGGAGGGAATGGGGCGTCCACACATACACACAAGCGCATGAAAATAGGGGAACTTAAACCACATTAAAAATGGCTGCCACATCTGGTACGGCTTATATCTGAAAGTACTCTCTGTCATATGCAGGGAACACGCATGCAAATGCACACACAAGAAGTCTGTAATTAACCAGCTAAGGCCTAAGCGAGGAAGAACAGAAACGGGGCTTATTTTAGTTCAAAAAGCTATTTAGTTACACCGAAGCCCAAGAAAGATTCATTGAAAAGTGGTTGATCACTCTCCAGTGAGAGCTCATGTGTAGGGCAAAAGAAGGTTATTAATCACCGAGTAGAAAAAAATCACTGAGGGTTCACAAACTTTGACATCTGCAATGGGAGTACTTTCAGGCCTAAGCTGACAGAGTCGCGGTGCTTTACTCTCCTCAGGAAGCCCCAGGTCACTCCCAAGAGCTGCAGGCCGGGGTTGTGTGTGAAGGAGAGCGTGTGTGCGTCTCTGTGTGTGCTGCATCCAAGCACGTGTGCGTATGTGTTTTCTTCTTAGAAATTAGCATAGAGTCCCCACAAAGATATAATTACAAACCTGCGTGCGTGTATGTCTGAGTGCAAGTGTGTGTTTTTTGGCAGAGGACTTAAATGGTTCCCACTCTAGGGATATGGATGTTTATGTTTGCGCGAGATTGCGCCGGGTTCTGGCAAGTGTCTTTCGCGGGAGTTAGCGGAGAGCACGGCCTTATGGGAAGAGACGCATTTATAACATCCTCACAATGGGCTCCTTTGTCTTGGCTGCTGGGACTGTATCATTTTGAAATAAATGGTAAAAAATGGATAGTTTTGTTGAATTCCAGATAGGCAAAGAGAGAGAGAGAGAGAGAGACGCTATACATTACCTTTACTGAAACGGCAGACACAGACACAAACACTCAAGCTCAGGTCACATATAACAATGTCTTTCAGAAATAGCATCAGATGGTCCTGGACCCAGAAAGTCCAGTAAATCTACCAGCAGCTCCATGACTCTGCAGAGGACAGGCAAATGAAGCTGTTTGAGACGCAGCGGTGCAGACCTTCAGCCGCATGGGGTTGATGACGCCTTGGGTGGTGCAGTTCAGTGGTCCCTGCATGGTCACCTCCAGGGGATACATCAGCCTGTGATCACGGCTTCCCATGGGACACTGCAGCTCCAGCAAGGCACTGCTGATGGCACTTGGTCCATTGTTCACGAGCTGGGGGGGGGGAACGAACAGAGGGGGTGGGGGGGAAAGGTTCACATGAATATCCATCACCTGAAAGTCTGGAAGTTGTAACAAACTCCATCAGGCTTTAGTAACAGCCCAGAACGACCCCCCACCCCATTAGGCTCTGCCTCCCCACCTCATAAACATGCTGCACAGGGGGGCCAACATCCTGCTCGTCCTGCAGCCTCTGGTTGACTCTCCAGTTGGCCGGAGGGAAAATGACCTTGTCCGGCCGGGAGACCCTAAACACAGAGACAAAACAGAGCTTTTAATCCAGGCACAACATGAAATCTCAGCTGCTGTTTCCATAGCTATGAATAAAGCATTTACCTGCATAATAGACAGCAGCTTTCACTGCAAGCTACGTAAGAGAGTTTGTGCAGGTGGATGTTTTAATGAACCTTTGCAGGTCAAGTGGTTAATCAAAGGTGCCACAGCAGATCCATCATAGGATGTGACCCTCTAATCTGGAGACTGCAGGTCCAGGTCTTTAGCCACAGTACCAGACTTTGGGCTGCACTGGTCTGTTGTGTTGTATCTTAAGTACAGGGGGAATCAGTTAACTGTCACATGGTACAGTCAGGGAGTCTGAGCAAAGATGCTTCTGAAAGCAAAATTCGTCGCTTTTGTCATCTTCCTATCGCTGCATCACACAGCTGCAAACGTGACATACGGCTCAGAATTCTCTTTCTCATCTTTCTTTTCCAGAATATTGTTGTGAACGTGGTGGAAGAAGGTGGAGACGCAACGAGACTCACCCCTGCAGAATGACATCAGCCAGCACGGCGGCCTCCAGCCTGAATGGAACCACGTTGCTCCGCGAGTTATTCTCATTTTTACTGGGAAGATAAGGGGCGATTTTCTTGGATTTAATCAATGCTTGACTCTATACCTTGACATTTGTGTCGTCAATTACAATGCTCACACATGCTGCTCACAGTCAAATTCTGTGGTATATCAGTGCAAAGCTGGTTCACATCCAGGTTTGCGAGGAGATGGGGGAGAAAGAGGGGTGCCTGGCATCGGGACTCACCTGCGTATCTGAAACTCAAACTGCACTGTCCTGTGCGTGTCTTTCAGGCGGGGCACGGTGAAGCGGAGGCCTGCCCACAGCTACGAAGCACCGGGGTGGTCAGGTGGTCAGGTGGCATGGAGGAGGAGAAACATCAGAAGGGGCTTGCTCACACATAAACACACACAAACACACACTGGCACCGGAAACACTACCAAGAGTGTGAGGGACCAAAGGAGTCTGACAGAGGATGTGGAGGTAAATCTAGTTTGACCGGAAACAAGACCACATCGGTCTGGACTTAGCCCAAGTCCACAGCCAATGGCATTTCCGGACTTTTCTCCTCCAACCCCCTCCCCACCCCCGCTCACCTACAGAACACATGCCAAGCACCTGATCTGGGTCAGACCTCTCTGTGTGGCTGCCTTTTTGGTCGCTTTTTAACATCCATGGGTTTTTATATTTTCCACAGACTTGCAAAAAAAAACTGTAATTGTGAGAACGAGGCATATGTGTGCGTGCATGTGCAAGTTTGTACCGGTGTGGGGGGGTGGGGGCTGGAGGGGGTGAGCTGGCAGACTGAGGTTCTTTGTTTTGCTTTTTTAAACATGGAGCCAGACTACATAGCCCCTATTAATGAGGGTCAACCTAAAAGCTGGAGGAACAGAAAAAAGGGGAGATAGCGATCACTTACAGTCTGGTCGAGCTGTGCGTCAAGAACACGCCAAGCCAAACTGTCTGCCTCAGAGGTTGCCTCAGAGGCGCTTATGCCCCTTTTACACAACCTGACTCTCGCAGGTTTCCCCCCCTACCACTTTCGAGAGAAAACAGGCTCCTTCCAAAATATTATCCCCTTTTAAACAAACTTTCAGTGAATTGTTTCAACGTCAAACAATGCAACTTCGGTGTAATTTTGACTGTTCTTCCTATAATATAACACAACATCCTTGTATTAATGGTCCTTGTGAAACAATATTTATGTTTCAGGTGGAATTTGTTCATCTTGCGTAATTATGCATTTTGAGTTTACCATACACTATGCATAGCACAAATAATGTTAAAAATGGATGATTAAAATAAATGATTTTCTATATAAATATTTTTCTTGGTCCACAGATGCACTGTAGGATGTGTTTATGTTTAATGACTTTTAGTCACCAGGTGCAGCTTGAAGCACGCCAACCGTGATGTCGACAGAGAGCTGGCTTCCAAATCGAGCGGCGACACGAAGCATTATTTTAACCCGCAGAGATGCATATCAGATGGTCATTAAAGCGAGACAGAAAAACTGATAAATTATACGACACTGGAACACGGGATCTTGCTGAAGACTTGGCAGCTGTTGCTGTCATTTTTTTCAGAACCACACTGTTGTATTTGAGTGAGAATGTCTGAGGTCACATTTATGTAAAATGTTTATATAATATATAATTTAAGAGACTTTCTATAAAAGTACTAAGTTCTGGCAGGAGTTGAGACACCCAGCTGCTTAAATATTCCTGAGATTTCTTGACAGTAAATTAACCCCCCCACCCCCCGCCCCAACTCATGACACATGCTATTGAAATGGAGCCACTAGCTTGACTAATGCCTTTGAAGTACAAGGCATCATGTAAGTTATCCTTGCTCAGCTCTGGGCATGATAACGATGCCGCCTGTCATGTGACAGAGAGTGAGGACAGGGATTGGTCACGATGCAGATGCTTACGCTTGTTCCGGACTTCATTGGGTTTCCCAGGTCGCAGATGAGGTAGCGGGTCTGATTCTCCGTCTCGTAGCTGCATGTCAACTGGGACAGGCTCTGGAAAAGGCCCCCCGTGTGAATCTGAGGCACGCTGCTGACACGCAGGTAAGCAAAACATCAGGGCACGCTTTCCGCCGCGTGACGAAATCCTCACCTCGTTGTTCCGCGAGATGCCACTGTAGTCGGCCTCCGGAGGCAACACCACGTAGAGCTCTGCTTCATAAGCCCCTCCCTCTCCCTCATTTCTAGCGTTGAACATCAAGGTCAGCGAGTTGTCGTCACCCAAGTACACCTCCTTCCTGTCCCTGCAACCCACAGAAACAAAAAGTTGGCCGCCGTTTGAAAATCAGCGTCCATTTAATCAAACGCATGTCATCAATGCCTGATTAGTAAACGTCCGGTTCCCTGGATTAACAAGCTTGTTAAGTAGGAGGCCATTAAAAATACTTAACACAAAGCAGATCACATCCAATTAAGCTGTTTTTCTCATCACAGTGGTTAAAAAAAAATATACAACATAAAAAAACAACAAAAGTGACCGCAGTGACAGTTACATAGAGTGCTTCTTAAACAATAACCTGATACCGCTTTCTCGTCAGCACAAACACTAACAAAACACAGACAGTGCTCGACATCCTGTCCACAAGCATCCCGCTGACCGCATCCCAAGTGCTGTCCGCAAGTTTTGTTACAGAACCGGGCCCAGAAACGTGGCCTTTAACATATTCCCCTCCAGCCAAGGTATTTCGGCAGACACAGTAAGAGACCTACGATTTCTCAAAGGAAACCCTCCCTGTTCTCAGCAACTACTCCTCCATCCCCCACCATGACCAAGTTTTGCAGTAATAAAGTCATTGAGGCAATCGACCCCACCCCCCTTCACCCCCCCCCCAACCCCACTGCACAGGTCTGGATAGAATAAGAAATTCCATATGAGGGGCAAACAGATGATTCCAATTACACCCAGGCCTCTTAATGTTATGAGAGTTGGGTAGAGGGGGGTGGGGGGGGGGGGTAGTAACAGATTCAATATTCTGAATCAGGGCTGAGCTGACTTGGGGGGGTGGCAGCAGGGCCTCTGTAAACCACTAAATAAGGACAAGAGAAATAAATGAAACCAAAAACAAAGCAGCTGAGCTGGTCAGTGACGTGGTGACAGAAGTGCGTCATGAGGACGCGTGACACGGGCCCTGCAGTGCGAGACTCACACACCCAGTGCGCTGACGTAGGTCACACGGGGAAATCTGCCAAGGCACGCATAACCCAAGACGCTCCAAGCTCATGCCAAGCCCCACAATGCACTGCTCCAAGATGCATTGAGTGATCAGTTTTTGCTGCTTTTCTCTCTGTGAGAAACATGCTCGAAGGTTCACACAGGTATGTTCTAAAAGGTGGAGAGTCTCGTGAACAAGAAGGACATGCAATCAGGGGGTGCTTTTGGGAGTGCAAAATTTTTAAAAAAGGTTTTGGGGTTTGTTGTGCAGAAAGTGAGCGTGGTGATGGACCTCACAGCCATCTGGAGCAGAATTCCCTCCTCCCTCCAAGCCCCTTCCTTTCATATTACTGCGACACCTCCCACCAATTCTGTCTCCTTCCCCCTGGCCCCTGGCTACCATCGGGAGAACCTCGCCATCATTTCTGAATTCCTGCCTGGCACACGCTGGAACCCCCCCGCAGCCCCTAGAGGGAACGTGCGTGGATATACTGCACTCGTCTCCTGATGGCTACTGGTCTTTTTATGGGGGGGGGGGGGTTGGCCTGTCAGAGCCCGATGGATGAACTGTGAGGTGTTGGGGTGCCAGGGGGGATGGGTGACTGGATCGACGCAGCCTGGCTATGTCAGTAGAGCAGAGCGTGCGGGGGACATACCCGTATACAGCCAGCTTCAGGTCAGGAACACAGATGTTGTCTTCTCCGCAGTCCAGCAAGATCTGAGCCTGTGAGACCAATGTGAAAAGGACAATTGGTGAAGGACATCAGGACAGTGATACCACAGAAAGGATTTGGGAAGGGGGTTCAAACCCACACCCAGAACAAATCCATGAGTGTGCCCCCCCCCAGACAATGAAACACGACCAGAACCACACGGCCAAGACAAACAGCCTCCCGTTGTTCCGGTGGGTAGGAAACAGGAAAACTGCTGAGGCTTTCAACTTAATAAATCCTTTGATTTTACTTTTATTATTTCACATAATAAATGTCCTGGCACACTCACACTACATTCACCAAATGCACCTTATTGCGGGGGGGGGGGGGGGGGGGTGCAGTGATTCAAATTAATCCTCAGCTGAGCAGCATTGCCTACGGAAGAGATCCAGCTTCAGTGCACACTGCGCTTAAAGGAACGGTAGCCGGGACGACGTTCCCAGATGTCTTTCTGTTTGCAGGTCTGACGTGCTGCTGTTCGACAGTGTGCACGTTGGCTTGGGCCGCGGAGAGCAGGACCCCAAGAGGAACAGCCGGAAACAAAGCTGAGACAGCAACAGGCAGGAAAAAAAATGTGGCAAGAGCAGTTACAAGTGGAGCCAGAAATAGACAGTCAGAAGTTATAAAGAAAGGCAGTAAGGCTGGAGGTACAAGGACAGAGAGGCCAGAATCAGCCATTAAAAGAAACAGCGCAGCCAGTGAAATACAGTCTGGTATGAGTACAAACACATATTCAGAGTCTGCACTAGTGAAACACAGAGTTACCAGGACAAACACAATTAGAGTCCGAGGCAGTGAAATAGAGTCAGAACCACAGGCGGAAACAAAGACAGACAGGTCAAGTAATCAATCTGCTGCAGGGAAGAACCCAGAACAGCATCAACTCAAAAAGCAAAAAAAAAAACGCTAGGAATTAACCCTGTCATCCTTAACTACTCTACTGCAGGAACAACCTCTACATAACCAATAATTGTTAGGAAGGCGATGATGAATATGATAAAAGAAAGCGGGAAAAAATGAAAAGAGCTAGGGTGTGGAGTCAGGGCCAAGCAAAGGTCTTTCAAAGCTTTCAGGCTTCCCTGTAATTAGACAACTGGGGGGGCCTGTAATTAGGGGACATGGCGACTTTTATCACCAGCATCGCCCATATAGGCATCATGTCCTGCCCATATATAATCATTCACAGAAAGAGAGAGTTATTTCGGATGCAGAGTACAGTCCAATGTGTGTGTGTGTGTGTGTGTGTGGGGGGGGGGCGTTATTGGCAATGTGCACCGCACAAGTGTGTCACACTGATAGGAGCCGATGTACTGAGACAGACGTCATTCTTGCATAGGCGTAAGAAAGGCCTTGTCACTGATAGGTGCATGTTCATAAGCCAAAGGCAGCAGAGGGCACCTGCATGTTCTCCTGGCACTGCCATACGGTGAGACCTGCACATCTTCTCCACACTTGCATACCGTTACGCCACAGAGCAGCTTGCATGCTGAGCCCCAGCTCAGGGGTGGGAGGGGAACGTCAGCAGAACACAAACAAATCGCTGCCAGATGCCATCAGAAAGGTCCCACCCAAAAGCATCCAGCGGCCTCCGCTTTGTACTTCTCCTGCACCCCCGCCGCACAGGCTGCTTCAGCCAGCCCCGTGAGCTGACCTAGGTGCCCTCTGCTGTACCAGCGTCAAGTTTCCCTGTTCAAGAACTGCTTTCCAGACATTCTGAGTCAGTTCCCAGTTGTGCATGTTAAAAATGGAAAAAGTGTGCGTGATTCCTGTCGGGGAGCTGAATGGAGCGGAATCACTGACGAGGGGCTTTTCAGTGACTCAAGGGTTTTTACACTTCTGCGAGGGAAGTTAGTCTCACGGCAAGGTAAAGACCCATAAGAAACACCCTTAAAGGGTCCAGGTTGTTTTACAAGCTTTAAGCACGGAATGGTGTTCTCTGAGGTGGGGCATGGATTAGGCATTCCATATGTGGAAGGTCGTGGGTTCAAATCCCATAAGTGGCAAAAATAATCACATCTCTGATCTCAGGTTCCCTCCCTCAAACATTGTTTTGGCCAAAAGCATTTACTAAAATATAAATAAATCTTGAGTCTGTGACCTCATCCCTCCAAGGATCAAATCCCAATATGTGTGCTTGGATTTTCTCCTTCAGTTGTGCAGGTTTACTGTTACATTCCAAAGACATAGTTGAAGAAGCATCTCTGTTCTCTAAGGTGTAGGACAGTATATTAACCCCTGTGATATACTGACATCCTGTCCTACATTTTACCCTACAGTACATTTCCTGCGATAGGCTCCATGTTTACCCTGACTCTGGGCTGGATAAATGGTTGAAAAGAGGATGGATGGATGGATGGATGGATAGAATCTCATCTCATTCCTCTAGCATTTGGGATAGGTTGAGATGAGATGATACAGGCTCCTATGTCTGAGCCAATGGATCAGAGTAGCTAGTGAACTGTCCTACCTTCTGCTCGATGAGATCAGGGGTCTGGTAGTTAAGGATGGGCCTCAAGCCATGGGAATCCACAGCGGCCTGGGGGTCCAGGCTGTAGTTGAGTGAGACATAGATGGGTGACAGCTTGTCCCGAAATTCTTTTTCCTCCTGGAAAGAACAGAGAAAGTGTTTGCCAGATTCCGACCACACCCCGTTCCACTGGGTTTCTGGGAGACGTCAGGCACTGACCCGTAGGTAGATCCTGGTCTCGTGGCACATGCGCGCCCCATTGGCCAGCCGCAGCCTCTTCCGCATGCTGGGCTGCCGCGTGTCAACAAAGAGGGCCCTCCTCACCGCCCCCTTCTGCCTCTGCTTCACACTGTCCAGCTGGATTTCCACCACAAAGTCTACACCACACACAAACGCAAGAAGCCGCTGGATTGCTACGGTCCTCCTCATAGTACATAAAGCAACTTAGAAGATTTATTCATTTAATGAAAAGTAAATTCAGGTTACACTGCGTGAGGGAAACTTGGAGCTGAACCAGCAACTTCTAAGCTATGGGTCTATGGATCTCAGAACTACATGCTACTGTAGACTAATGCATAACAATCCTGAAGTGTAGCAATTTTCCTTTCATTAGGCTAGAATACACTCAGCTAAATGTAACTCTCAAACAAATTAATTACAGTGAATTCAGGTATATTTAATGCTCTGGAGGATGGCTGGGTCTGTGGGTGGGAGGGGGATTTACAGTATTTGTGTCGACTTACCTAAATCGTCGGGTAGGTGTTTCCCATTGGCTGAGAGGCAGAAACTGAGGTTGACACTGGACACGGAGGGACAAAGACAGAAAAAGTCTTTCCAAGGTACAGATAAATATAAGCACCTAACTAGTGAGGCAATCTGCTTTGCTTGCTCAGCAACTGTCATAAAATTAAATGGCCTGTTTCACTAATCAAACTTATTGAGTACAGAATTTATACAGGTGAATAATGTCAGGTTAATGCTGGTCAGGCAAGACACCAGTTGCAGTGGGCTAGTTTACGCATCATGTCAGCAGTATTTTAGCATTGCTTCCAGCACAGAGGGACACTGAGAGCCTGTATAAACCAGCAAACTGCCAGTCAAATTGTGTTACAGCCGGTTCAGAAAGGAGGGGGCAGCCGCATTGCCCATGGCCACATGGGGATTTGCCTTGATGTTTCCCAAATGTGCTCCGCCCCAAAGCAAGAGCCAAACTCCCCTTGTACTCGCCCACTTCTCCCACTAGGCCTGGCACTTCATTCCTTCAGTTCCATGGCAATGCAAACCGCAAGTAAGATATATATATAGGTCCTGCTTTTGGCTAATAGGTACACAGAGCTGACACTGGCTTTGTCTCAAGTCTGCAACCTAAACTGGTCTCAATCTACTGACCAGTTAAAAGGATGAAAAAGGAATAGAGGAGGTGCACAAGTGTGTTAGAAGAGACACAAATCTTGTTATTACTAAGCAGGTGCTTTCTGTGTCGATAATAATCTTTAATATAAGTAGCAGTAGATAAAAATCATTTTTTCATTCAGTTTAAAAATTAAGTTGATCTTAAACAAATATTTTTGTCTAGTAAGTCAGACATTGTTAATGAAACTTATTCTAAGATCCTCTCGCGTACATCAACTGATACCGCAAACCCCAGTAAGCTACTATTCCCAGCATGTTCCCATACTGGAGTCTTGTTCCCTGAAATTGCCCTTGCCGTCTCTCTGAAGAGCATCATGTAATTGCCCCGGTGGACAGGCTCATGCATCATTCTGTCAGTATCAATGACCCGTCACAGTTTTCAACAATACCGATGGGGAAACTCTCTTTGCAATTTCTGTTGACTCTACTGATCTATATTTTCCAATAAAGAATGAAAATTACGAAATATCATTGATTCTACATCTTCACATTTGAAATCAGCATTTAAACATGTATGGTCTGGAAATGCATGTCCTGCATGGCAGCTAAAATCTCATACTACTGCCGACAGGCAAGTACTACGGCAGATATTGGGCGACAATGTGAGAGACGTACTTGAGATGAAACCCACCCATTTCCCTACACCTCCAAAGCTGTTTATCACTCACAGGACTGCGGCCTTTCAAACCCACGCTAGCTAATTGAATGGAAGGTGGGTTTAAACAAGCCCATGACTGACTGTGTGTGACTAACCCACTCACTCCAAGACCTCATTCGCATCCATCCATCTTACAACTGTTTATCCAGAACAGAACTACAGACGTTTTAGAATAATCAAACACAAAACAATCCAACCATGTGATGTATTTAGTTGAGGCTCACAGTAAACTGGGTAGCAGAAAGAGCCAAGAGTCGTGTCTGAGAACAGAGGGTGGGGTTCTGACCGTACCAGGACACAAGGACAGTCTCATTCCCGCGCAAGATGATACAGCTCCTCTCTTCGGGGTTGATCATGGTGGGGAACACCAAAAGGGAGACACTGGTGTTGACAACAGGTCGTGCTCTGTGGACGACAGACAGAACAAGGACAACGCCCCCTTCAGGCTAAACCTCACGCCTGACCAAAACAATAACAAATCATGAGAATTGGCTTCTCTCTGCCAACAGCTGCAATTATCTAAACAACCATTTCACAAAATGTCCATACCATTACTTACTATTAGTACTAATAATATCAATAATAAAATTGTATACTATATAATATACTATATATGATAATTAAATAATTTCATAAAAGTATTATTATATTCATTAATCTATAACTGCATATCCATTATAGGATATTTATTTAAGCAATTGATATTGGTGTGATGCATATTTATTATGTATGTAAGTAATAGAAATTATATTTTAGCTTTACCACACTTAATGTGACAAGTTGCTGAAGTGATACAAGTGATATTTTACCTGTAAAGAATTGCCTTATCAACTCCAAATGCACCTACTATGAGATCTAAGGGGAGAAAAAAACAGTATTATTTTTTTGTAATATTTCACAAACAGGTCCCCATTGATGATATAATGATAGCAATTACACTTGAATCTTCCCCCTGTGCAGCCTGCAGTGGCTTGACCCCTGCACTATTTTTTTTTCAATATTTAGCAGTGTTTAGCAGACTTTCCCATGGTCAGTCAGCTTGAGGAAAGCCAACAAGACCCAGTGTACAACACAGACCTTTTAGGGCAGTGCTCACCTGGGTATCCGTTCATGTCTAGGTCCTTGTTTCCACGCATGGCATAGCCAAAGCTGGCAGGAAAGGTGCTGGAGGCCCATTGGCCAGCGAGGACCTGGGAGGGCATGTCCTTGACCCCTCCTGCATAGCCATTATAGATGAAGACCAGTCCTTGCTGTTCCTCACCCCCAAAAGGAGAGCTGATAGCTACATCTGATGCGGAGAGAAAAGAAGGATTGAAGACTGACAATGCCTGGCAACTTCCTCACCACCCATACCCCCTCCAACCTTTCCAAGATTGTTTACCATTGAATCCATCCTGGTTGAGGTCTCCCAGGGGGGCGACGCAGCTTCCAAATCTCCCAAATATCTGTGTCCCAGTTAGATGGGGGAAGACAGGCTCAAAGTCCAGGGGGTGTCGTTGAAGATAAAGGTAGACGCGGCCGACCTCCTCCAGCCGCCCATCAGATCCACGGACCATAAACATGGGGGCTCCCACCAAAAGGTCATCCAGACTGGTGAAGGAACAACATCGTCATGCTTCAGTATTCCACTCATAGCCCAGTGTCTCATTCACATTCATTGTTCATACATCGTTATCTCATTCATACATCAGTCTCATTCATAACTTAGTATATTGTTCATACATAATTGTCTTTTTGTCATCTCAGTGCCTCATTTAGACTTAGTTGACTCAATAACTCCTTACAGAGCTACTGTTTTTACAATACCTTTCTAAGACAGTTATTACTAGAAAATAAACAGTGAACGTAAGAACAAAGTCCTATTATCTGGAATATCTGGCAATACGGTGCCTTTAAAGTTTGAAAGTGACTGTATTTGAAGTGCTTTACTAGCCAGGAAGGCCCTGTGACAGTAAGACTCCTCTGCCTTATGCTCCCTTATCCAGGGTGTTGAAAACCGGCTTGTCCACTTACTCACCCATCGTTGTTGATGTCAGTGGCTGCCACAGTGTAGCCAAAGTAGGAGCCCATCTGGAAAATATTACAGCAGACATCACTGTCCAGCCCTCATCAGGGATATAAGAGTACCCCTCCCTCTTTTAGCTGTCCCACCAGAAACCTCCTCCCCCCCCAGTCCACTCCAATATCCACCCCTCTGGCCACCCAGCTGACTCAAGCTTAACAACAGTTTACCTCATATCAAGAAGGATATATCAACATGTTGCGCTCTCTACAGGCGAACGTGGGGAGCAATAGCTAACAATAATCTCCCAACAGTGAAAGAGTTGTAAAATAGTCTGTGACATTTTCGAATCTGCTAACAGTGTTTGTTCAGCATGATCCTTTTTGGTCTTTTGACTGCATTCTGCATACAGCTTTTTGGCGGTTGAACTTAAATAATCCCAAGTCCAAATTCTTTTACTCTTAGGTAACCAAACAGACGTACAGTATGTTTTGTTTAGCCAGCAGATGCAATCAGCATGTTCAAAGGACCATCAAGCTATATTTTGGATGAGATTTCCGACGTACCATCCAACAAATCCCCTCTCCCCTCACAGAAACAAACAAATGTAATTCTTCTGTCATTTATGATACGTCAGATCTCCTTTGTTTAGGGGTTATTCCATAGGTGACAACAAAAACAAAATCAACTCAGAACAGTGCATACAACAAAACTGCACATCACGAATAACCCACTCATTCCATCAAAACTTAATCAAAAATTCCATCAAAAATTAAGTTAACTTAATTTTAACTTAGTTAAAATGACACTGGAGTTTACCCTGGATCACATGCCAACTATGTTAACGTGTCCCTTGTCACAAATGGCTATGCTTTCAAAACGAACAAGAAAACCAAAGTTACAAACTCACCTGTTCACCTGTGATGTTAAGCACTGACTTCATGTTAGTTCCATTCAAAATAGACACCTGGGTGTTAGAGCAAATACATGAACACATAAAACGACAGCCAACAGATTTCACCATTATCACTAATCCGTGTAATTGCACACAAGGAGCTTGTTTAAAAAAATACAAACCACTACACCACAGTCTAAACCACCTGTTACACCAATTTTATCCTCTTTTGCTATAACCCACTTTACCATTTTTTAGAAACACAGGTGACCACGGCTTCAACAGCTGCAATGGCATATATATATATATCTGTATAACACACACACTGACAGCAGCTTTGATATTTTATATATATACAGTATACACACACACACACACACACACACACACACACACACACACACACACACAGTCGTACCTCAGAACTCGAATTTAATCCGTTCAGAACTTCGGATCGAATTCTAAAAAGTTCGAGTTGTGATCAAATTTTCCCCATAAGAAATAATGGAAAAATAAATAATTGGTTCCCGGCCCCAAAAAAATTACAGAAAATTACGCAGAAGGACAATACAATGACCGGACTGGGGAATACAAACTGAAACGTGGACTAAATACAGAGGACTAATGACAACAACCAGAAACAGCTGATCACACGGGGTTAACGAGGGGGCGTGGCACACGGAAGGAGCGGACGATCGGGGCAGGGCACATTGTTTTTTTTTTACTTTACACATTGTTTGGATACATTTATTTTCTTAGTTTTAAGATGACTGTTTTGATAAATGTCATTAGATGTGTTTAGTACAGTACAGTATATGCTCTTCTTGTTTTATCCAGTTCATTTTGTGTTTAAATGCTTAAAAAAAACAAAAACATATTTAGCTGTAATTTTTTGGGGTCGGGAACCAATTAATTGGTTTTCCATTATTTCTTATGGGGAAAGTTCGACAACAACCCAAACTTTTTAGGATTTGATCCGGAGTTCTGAACGGATTCTGTATATTGGTTTTCTTGAGGTTTCTTGTTTACTATAACAAATATTAAGGAATCCTTACTAAACCATAAAGCATGATTCCTTTTGGGACACCAGCCACAAAATCTGCAGGAAAAATACAAAGTGAAGGTGAAATGACATAATTGGGTTCACAAAACAAGTTCTGGTTGGCATATATCAGAATCTGAATTAGAAACTTTATTGCCATTATGCAAAGGCATAATGATAGATGGAGTTTACTTCAACTCAAAAGTAGTTAAAAAAAAATTAAACAGGTAACTGACTGACTAATGTGACCACCCCATAAACACTGGTATCCACGGCGAGGCTTACCTTCTTCCATATCACCACTGAATTCCCCCACTGCAACTGAGTAGCCTGGAAAAGAAGATAAACTATGACTGTCACATGACCCATGCACCTTGGTGAATGCAAACCATTATTAAAATAATGCTCTGCCAGACCAGCATACTTCCTGGCCAGAAATGGCCATTTAATTACTTGCAGGTGAAGCAGAATTTGATTAACGTACCAAGGTAGCTATCATCATAGTGCCCTTGTGCCTGTCGAGTCTGAGTTTGCCCCGTAACAGACAACAGGAAGTATGAAGGGTAGTAGGCCTTGACGATTTCCTCCTTTGTGGCAGCAATAAGTTGACCTGGGAAGTGTAAAACCAGAGGCCTTTATTCCCCACCCCCGCAGGTGGTCCGGTCTCATTCACAGTTTTGTTTGCCGTTCGCTGCAAACACATTAGCCACATACGCTATCATCACCTTGCCAGTAGTAGCTGCCTGGACCTCCAAGAACCACCTTCCCACTCTGGAAGACACAACACTGTAAGACTAGGGAACCACACTCAGCCTCTTTCACATTTTTGACAATGACCAGCTGGAAAATATCTAGTATGAATAATCATAACTTACCTTAGTGAAGTCAGCACTGAATCCCCCTTGACAATAGCCCTGGCCAGCAGGACCATGTATTTCTGAGCCATAAGAAGAGGAGAACTAGATCAGCACCTGATCTTTGGGCTGAGACATTCATGCAGAATGTAAATTCAGATACTGCAAGAGAGGATTACATTCCGCAGTCGAAGCGTACCTGTACGACATGGGGCATACTCCACAAATTTGGAGAAGTTATCTACAGAGAGGAAGCAGGTTCCTGTTGCATCAGACTTGGGGATGTCTTCTTCTGTTCTCCAGTAATATCGAGGAGCACAAGCCTTTGGCACATTCAGAAAACAGACAGAGGATAACGGTTCATGTAGAAACTCATTAAAATTCATTTTACACAGGTGATGCCACTACACAATAATTTCATTTAAAATATTCAGCACATTTTGTAAATATAGAATTATAAACTTTATATAACTAAATAATTCTTAATTCTATGTAATTCTATAACATTATATAATTATCATTTACATAATTATAAACAGAGAAACATTGTATAATAAAAAACATATAAATCTGGCTGACCTTGGTTATAAACGTGCTGGTTACCAAAGAAATCCAGGATTAAAGATTTATACCTGAATTAATGATCTTACCAGTATTGTGCTTCCGTGGGATCTCACTGTGGCGCCAAACCATTGATGGGACTTAAATTCCACTTGTAGATCTGTGTCATTGACATGGTAACTGCGATCTCCTGGACGAAAGAAACACAGGCTTAGATCTGAAAAAGACTGTAATACATAATCTATGAATATAAATTTTTGTATCTTGCTCACAGACAGTATATTATTTCCGCAATGAAAAGTGTGGTCTAAATTAAAAGTGAAAACCTCCAAAAATCTGATGATATCCATATATAAATGCTGATGGTTCTGAGCAAACACCCACATAGCCATGTTGGTCCTATATCTGCACCACTTTAAAATACAGGTCATCATTTGAGAAATCTGTATGGCCAGAGATCTGCATGACAACATGAAGGAAGTAGATAGAAAGCAGTGTGTTTGTGGAACAGACCAGTGGGACCGACTTGTGTGTAGCAACCAGCCATGTACACAAGCAGAAACAAGCCATAATTACAAGCATGCTACAGAATAAAATATGGCATAAAGCAGAAGACACGACGAGGGCTGCATTACATCATCCTGCTGGCCCCCCCAAAGGCCAGGGGCGGCTCATTCCAGCATGTTATCGAGCCGCCCAAAACAAACAGGGTCCCTGACTCATAGTCTTGCTCACAGCATCTTGTCAGTCAGCCTTCTCAAAAAACTCCCTCCTCTACGTTCCTAAACTTCCAAGAGTTTATGTAGCTTTTTCACTGACATGAAGAACATCTGCAGTATCGTCAACTCAAGCCCAGGCAGAGACAAAAATCTTGGTCTCAAAGGAGGCAGGTCCTTTCCAGATGGACTCTGTTTGTATGGGGAAAAACAAAGCTGGATCATGCCGCCCCCCCAATGGGAAAGTCATTTTTTATGTTAGGTGGAGTTTGAGAGGGTGTATTAATGCAAGGGGTCTGAACAAATCTCATAGGCTATATGTCACAAATCAAAATGATATCACTAGAACAACGTGAGACTTCTTGCAGGGCTTGATGTATCTGAGGATTTGTCTTCTGAACATTTTGTTAGATCACAAGCTTGAGCCATACTGAAAAAATCAATGACTTTCAACCCTGGTTCTGATAGCTAGTTCTTCTTCTTGATAACTTGATAACAAGTAATTGATTACAATTGATTGAATAAATAAATAAAATCCAATTAAACTGAATGGCTTATCGTGCTGTGTTTGCTCTGTTGGTGATAAGTACTTACAAAGTGCTTTATAAGAAAGTCACTGGCATTTCTTCTGTATGTTTTAAGTCAAAGAGTATTTGCCCTTCCTTAGATTGTCAACCATAATAAAGCCACAACAATAATAAAATCAGTTCAATAAAGCTACAACAATGAAATCAGTTTGCTAATAAAATAAACACTCATTATTAGACAGCCAAACTTGTTTGCATTTCTGCTCTCTCTATCCACATCAAACCAACAAACAAACCTCATTGAACCCCCTGTGAGACTTGCCCTTTGAACTGTGCAAGAGAGCTTGTGCTGGCTCTGGGTGGGTGGGGGGGGGGGGGGGTTTT